GTTAAATCGGTGCAGCGATGACTGCTGCGCAGCTCGTGGTTGTCTGTGGGTTTTTTCTTCCCTCTGACTTGTGATTTCCTGGGCATCCGCAGGGGAGCGGCGCTAGGCGTGGCCGTGCCGCGCTGGGCCCGAGAGGACGAGGGCCGAGGCGCCGTGCCCGTGGCATCGCTGATGCTCCTTGTGAGAGTCCCCAGGTCCCTCCTCCAAATGAAGTCGGGATGGCAATCCGTCAATGCTGCGGCTTCAAGCGGGACCAGCGTGTATCTGGCTGCCTTTGCAGAGACTCGTCCAGCCCCTGGTGATGTTAAATTAAATTTTTGCCAGATGAATTATTTTTACTGAAAGGGGAATTGCTAAAGAAAGGGCCTGCTCGTTAAAAAAAGTTAAATCCCCAAACATACCTGAGTAGACAGGTTGTGTTTTGTCTCTTGCAGTGTTTTTCCTCTGCCTAGTGATACCTCTGCAGAGCACCATTAATAATGGGAAATGTCGAGGGGGTTATGCGGCCCTGCAAGACAGGTGCAGGCAGCCCCCGGTGCAGCGCGTGTTGGTTAGTGGCTGGGGCCTCTACGCTGAGGCAGTCGTGGGGGAAGCCTGCTGTCAGCTTCCTCCCAGGTTCGGGGTCAGTGAATGCCTCCGAGGAACAGGTTTAGCGAAGGCCCTTGCACAGACCTCTGCCCTGCTCAACCCCAGGGGTAGCTGCAGTTCCTCCATGTGCTGAGAGGGAGCTTGGAACGGCCTCTGGGATCCCTATGGACACAGGAACCCCCAGGTCGGGCTCTGTTCCTCGTGCGGTTCCCTGGCGGCTGTCTCGGAGCGGCAAGAAGCTATCCGAGAACTTCGTGTTTATCCCAGACTTAACCCACAGAGTCTCAAGTCATCGGAATTGCCAGCGACCAGTAATTCCTCTGTCTCTTTTCTGGATAAGGAATTTTCACCGAGCTTTGAAGCCGCAGGTCACTGCAGTGGCAGGCATACATCCTGCAAGCCTGGGGGATACACCAGATTAACAGGTCTTCTCTATAATTTATGTGGGTTTTACACTGGTCTTACGGAAAAAGCCATAATGGAACGTCTCAAGCAAAGCATTGCAGGCACCACAAATCCCTTCATCGATCAAGAGGATTTGAGATCCTGGCCAGAGCGAGGCAGGTTTTCTATCGCAAGAACAGCAGCCCTCTGCCACTTCAAGGGAGCGTCTGAAACGGAAAACCTGAGGTTTCAGGAGCCTCTTCCTGAGCGCTCCCTCCCCAGACCGGCGTTCCTTAGGTTTGCTCTGGTCGAGAGGTGCCCATGCGCTTCAGCAGCACAATTTACCAGGGAATCGTCCTTAAATGAGACAGATAGCGGGTGCTCCCGGGGGCCAGGGTGTGCAGCCCCCCAGGTAAGACGGGCCCCAGGCGTGCTGGCCGCGGGAGATGCTGAGGGGATTAGCGGTGCCCTAAAGAGCCAAGAACCCCTTCCCTGCACAGCGGGGACACAGCAAGGTGGGGTGCACCACGGCTCATGCTCTTTTCCCAGCACCTAATGCAATATGAGACACTTGCTCTGCAGATATATGCAACCTCCAGGAAGGGATATATTGTCTTTAGTAGGGAATCAATTAATCATTATTATGGCTCACTTTCCAATGGCTCCCTTGGCTGAAAATGAGCCAGAATTAATAAAATATACATTGACTACATATGACCTAATTCCCCAAACAGACATTCCTTGTTTCTTTTTCCAAGTCTGGGGCTCGTATTTTATCCCCATGTAGCAGGAAATATTTGGTTCAAATGAATGGCTTTCTGGACCAGGCACTGGTTTCCATACTTTGCAGCTATTTATGGTATTGCAAAAAAGACAGAGGACAGTGCTTTAATGAGGGACAGCGAATCTGCAGGTCACCGGGAAGCGGCAGCCCAGCGTGGGGCGAGCCGCCAGTCGTCGCGCGGGACTTGGGAACTGGTGGCTTGCTCCGGCCGAGCGCGCCAGCACCTGCCCACAGACGCCGAACGCCGCTCTGCCAGGCCTGCCGTCTGCGTGTCCCTGGGCTGGGTGACTACGGGGCACAGCTCCAGGCTGGAGACGGATATCTAGCCCGTGCAGTACAACTTCCTTGCTTGCTGCCTTCCTTCCACTGGGGAAGTGCTCCTTTCAGAGGGGTTGCAAGGTTTTCCTGTGATTATGTCAAACCAGATTTCAGCATCCCAATGAGGCTGTTACCATTTCTCTCTTCTGATCGCTGCTGGCTGGAAGCAGCCATCCAGGCCAGGGTGCTGCAAGCCCTGGGCTTGGCAGTCTCTCCCTCTCCGGGACTGAGCACTGTGCTGGATTCTCTGGAGGAAAAGTCCTGGCAGGGGGCCCAGCGCTCGGCCGTGTCCCCGCGTGGCCGGGCAGGGCTGGCAGGACCGGGTCCGCAGTGAGCTGCAGCACCCCAGCCTTGCTTCCTGCCCGGACTGCTGGTGCACCAGCCCTTTCATATTTGAAATTGTTCATTATCCTCATGGCATGTTCATTAATAACCCCATAGCGTAAATCTGCCAGCTGGGCCAAGCTCTGATTTATAGGGCACTTGAATCAAATATTTCTCTCCAGATCCGGAAGAGTTTAAACACAGATTGACCCACTGACTTGGGTGGCTGCTTTGCCAGAGTGAGGAAAGTCAGACGGGCTTTGCTGGAGCGAGACACGCAGCATCGGAGCAGCTGGGAGAGGCCGGGGCCGCGGCCCGTGGCCGTCCCGCGCGGCCGCC